CAGCCCTTCTCATCTGCCCCGTGACAGCTCTGTGGCTCAACAGGAGAGATCGGGGCCGATGGTTCTAGAGGAAATAGAGTCGCAAGACATTCAGGATGGGATTCAGGGTTTGGAGAGTGATGATGATGTTCCAGAAGAAGACGACTTCACTCTATTCGAATAAATGTAGATTTTTGTCCATACTTAAAATAAATAACACATCCCCTGAAAATAAGCCCTAGGGTGTCTTCTCGAGGAAAAATAAATATGAGACCCTGTCTTATTTTTGGGGAAACACAGTAGACATATATTTGTTGAATGAATGCAACAATAGCTCTTTGTTTATGGTTAGCGCCACTACTGGTGAAATCTTCCATTCCCCTTGTCAAAATATTTACTTTATATCTTTTCCTTGCTGATAGTAGCCAAGGAGGATCTACATCACAAAGGTATGTGAGCCTGAAGTATCGGTCCTGAGCACCAGTAAAAACCCCTGTGGCTTTTTCCAGGAGTGCCTTAATAATCCATAGGAGGGTTCCCAAGTGATCACTGGCTGGGATTTCTTATCAGCCCCTGGAAAAAGATAAACGAGGCATCTGAGGGCGAAGATCTCTGAGCTTTCAAAAGCAAACTTCTTTCCATTCTAATCTGTCCATTTACCCATTCACCCAACCTCCGGGAAACTGTTATCGAGCTCCCAATACGTGCCAGGCCCCGTGCCAAGCCCTGGGTGTACCACGGTGAGCAAAAAGGCCAAGTCCCTGCCTTCGTAAGGGGAGACGGACTTCACGTCCATCTTAATGCAGATCCTCGCACTAATGAATGGAATGGACTGGGACGTGTGGCAGAGGAAGGAGCAGTAAAAGATGCTATGAGAGTAACAAAAAAATGGGAAAATAAAATTTAAAAAACAATTAAATTTGCCATAGCCTCTGAAATGCTTCATAACCAACTTAAGAAAAGACATTGCAAAACCTCTATGCTGAAAACTGGAAAGCCCTGCTGAGGGAAATTGAAGATCTAAAGAAATGGAGAGTCCGGGCGTGGTGGCTCATGCCTGTAATCCTAGCATTCTGGGAGACTGAGGCGGGCGGATCGCTCAAGGTCAGGAGTTCGAGACCAGCCTGAGCAAGAGCGAGACCCTGTCTCTACTAAAAATAGAGAGAAATTAATTGACCAACTAAAAATATGTAGAAAAAATTAGCCGGGCACGGTGGCACGTGCCTGTAGTCCCAGCTACTCGGGAGGCTGAGACAGAAGGATCTCTTGAGCCCAGGAGTCTGAGCTTGCTATGAGCTAGGCTGAAGCCAGGGCACTCTAGCCCGGGCAACAGAGTGAGGCTCTGTCTCAAAAAAAATTTTTTTAATTAAAGAAATGGACCCCATAATACGCTAAAATAAAAATAATAAAAATAATAAAGTACCAGAGGTACCAGTATTGAACAATAAGGAAAAAAAAAATTAAAGAAATGGAGAGACATGTCATGTTCACGGATTGGAAGGTTCAATATTGCTCCAATGTCAATGGTCCCAACTTGATTAAATGGTCCCAAATTGACGTATGGATTTGACATGATCCCAATCAAAATTCCAGCAGGTTTTTTTTTTTTTTTTTGTAGAAATTGATTTTAACATTTATATGGAAATGGAAATGGCCTAGAATAGCCAAGGCAACTTTAGAAAGAAGAACAAAGTTGGAAGATCTGCCTTCTCTGATCTCAAGACTTATTACAAAACGACAGCAATCAAGCCCATGTGGACACGGTGAAAGGTGAGACATAGAGATCACTAGAGAAGAACAGAGGGGGAAATAGCCCATACATAAATAACAGACTGATTTTCAGTAAAGGCGTCGAGGCAATGCAACAGGGAAAGAAAAGTCTAGAGCAATTGGCCAGGTAGGTAAAGGATTCTTAGGACATAAAAGGACAAACCACAAAAGAAAAAATACAGATAAATTCGACTTTATCAAAATTTAAAACTTTTTTTCTTGAGTAGACAAGAAAATGAAAATGCAAGTCATCGAATGAGGGGAAATATTTGTAATACATACAGGTGACAAAGGATGACTGCCCAGAATACAGTAAAGAATTCTCAAAACCCAATATGAAAACAGGCCAGGCGTGGCAACTCAAGCCTGTAACCCCAGAACTCTGGGAGGCCGAGGAGAGGGAAACACTTGAGTCTGGGAATTTGAAGCTAGCCTGGGCAACCTAGCGAGACCCTGTCTCTACAAAAAATAGAAGAATTAGCCGGGTGTGATGGCCTGCACCTGCAGTCCCAACTACTTGGGAGGCTGAGGTGGGAGGATGGCTTGAGCACGGGAGTTCGAGGCTGCAGTGAGCTTCGATCACGTCACTGCACCCCGGCCTAGGGGATGAGCTAGCAGAGGAAGTTGAGAGGGGACCAAAGGAAAGGGAGGGAAACCAGAAGAGCAAGACGTAGCAGGATTCGTGGAAAGAGGATGTTTCGGGAAAGGTGTGGAAATTGTGTTGAATGCTAATTTTAAAAAAAAGGGGGGGGGAGTTCACTGTACGTAGTAACACAGACGGAACCCAGATTACAGTAGATTGAGGAGAGACTGAGAAATAAGGAAGTGGAGGATGTGATTTCACCTCCTTTCTGATAACGGGTCCGGCTTCCTACAACAAGCTGGGTTACGACAAGGATGAGAGAAAACCGAATTTGGAAGAAATTGTGAAAGACACCACATTCGTAGAAGCTTACTCCTTTAAATTCAGCCTGAGAGGTTGCATTTCCGATCCCGCGATGTGCCTGGGTGTCATGGCTCATGCGTGAGTTCAGACATTTCCTTCATTACGTCATTTTCATGACTGCCATGAACGCGAAGGAGCGGGTTTAACCGAGGTGTCTTCAACATCGGCGTCACATCACAGTGACGAAGAAAGGCACAAGGAGCAAGGGAGGAAGGACAGGCAGAGATAAAAAAGGCCGTCCTACTCCCCGACACTGGCTGCCCAGTGAGCTGCCCTTTTGCAATTAAATCCGGACCCTTGTGAACAGTTACAGAAAATCACAAAGGCAAAATGACACAAATGAATTTGGTAGCAAGCAACAGAGAATGTGGGCTCTTTCTTGGTTCTCCTGGTTTTTTTTTTGTTTTTTTTTTTTGAGACAGAGCCTCGATTTGTTGCCCAGGCTAGAGCGAGTGCCATGGCGTCAGCCTAGCTCACAGCAACCTCCAACTCCTGGGCTCAAGGGATCCTCCTGCCTCAGCCTCCCAAGTAGCTGGGACTACAGGCATGCGCCACCATGCCCGGCTAATTTTTTCTATGTATATCAGTTGGCCAATTAATTTCTTTCTATTTATAGTAGAGACGGGGTCTCGCTCTTGCTCAGGCTGGTTTCGAACTCCTGACCTCCAGCGATCCTCCCGCCTCGGCCTCCCAGAGAGCTAGGATTACAGGCGTGAGCCACCGCGCCCGGCCTTCGGTTCTCCTGTTTATCTGGAAAGAGTATATTTGTGCTGGAGTCAAGAAACAAAGAGGCAGAACTCCTTTGTAGAGCTAAAGAGAAAGAAAAGGAAAATACCAAGATTCGTGGATCTGGGCTTCTAGGCCATAAAAAGAATGAACGAGTGAGTGAATGAATGAATGAAAAAGCAATAGGAAATAGGTATGTCCTAGGTAAAGAATGGGGATTATGTGAGCACGGATCAGACTACGGACAGCAAAGCAGAGACCCGTTCCCCAGCTCAGGAGGACAACGTGTTCTCACTATACTGTGTCCTCCGGTATATATTTCAAAAGGACTTGGAGGAGCCTCCAAGCTGGGGCCACCCAGCCCAGGGAGGGGAAAACAGTGGGAACAGAACAGGGGTGGCTCAGAGGTTGGACCCAGCTCCCAGGGAGGGGAAAAGAATGGAACCCGAGGCCGGGCGCAGTGGCTCACGCCTGTAATCCTAGCTCTTGGGAGGCCGAGGCGGGAGGATCGCTGGAGGTCAGGAGTTTGAAACCAGCCTGAGCAAGAGCGAGACCCCGTCTCTACTATAAATAGAAAGAAATTAATTGGCCAACTGATATATATATAAAAAATTAGCCGGGCATGGTGGCGCATGCCTATAGTCCCAGCTATTCGGGAGGCTGAGGCAGAAGGATCACTCGAGCCCAGGAGTTTGAGGTTGCTGTGAGCCAGGCTGCCGCCACGGCACTCACTCTAGCCTGGACAACAAAGCGAGACTCTGTCTCAAAAAAAAAAAAAAAAAAAAAGAATGGAACCCGAGCATCACTGCCCTACAGAGAGCCACTCGGGCACTTGGACTCAAGCCTCCCGAATGAGTGACGCTGTCTTTCCCAGGTAAGATGGCAGGTGCCTGCCCTGAGCCTCTGGCTATCTCGCCAGGCGGCTCGCTGTCCTCGAAGGTGTCCAACAGGCCCGAGAGCAGGGACCGCAGCGTACGGGCCTGGACTGAGCGCTAAGCACCGGCCCGCCAGCTCATCGGGCCTCGCAGACATCCTGGGATGTGCGTATTTATTCGGCGCCCACCTGGCTGAAAAGGAAGCTAACGCCCACGACACGAATCTGCCTCCGGGTCCCAGTGAAGGCGCTTGGATCTGAGTCCGCATCTACACGGCTGCAAGTCCCACACCGTTCCCGCCGGAACAGGCTTGGAGAAACCCGTGTGTTTCGACGGGGAGGGGGCAAGAGACGCTTGTCGGGGACAGACGGCGGGAGATGGAGAAGGAAACCTCTTTTCCTGAGAACGAGCAGAGTCGTAGACGAAATCGCCTAGGAAAGAGAAGACGAAATAATCTGACGTGGGGAGTGGGGGAAAAAAAAATGCCTGGAATTCAAAGATGAAATAAAATTCAGGAATGAGGGACAGAAAAATCTGTGTTTGGGAATCACAGTGAGGGTCTCCATGGCGACAAGCGGCACACCCAGGCCTTCACCTAGGGTCTGAGAGGGGACAGCTCCGTGCCTGGCCTTCCCCCCGCTGCCCACGTGACCCGCGCTGGTATAAAGCTCTCTGCCCGCACGGTCCCTTGCCACTTCTTCCTGTGCAAGGTGGGGGCAGCAAGTGGCGGGAGCTCCGTTCCTCTTTCCTTAGAAGCTTACGGACTCCTCTTCAGGTCGAACCCCAAGGCGCCGTCTCTCCGGAATGAGGACGAGGCCAGGCGCCCTGGGGAGCCACGCGGGGAGCAGGACGTGAGGGGACAGTGCCCGGAGACTGGAAGGAGGCCGCCAGACGCCGAAATGTAAGGATCATGCTCAGAGACAGGAGCTGATGCAGGGGTGGGGCGGGCTGGGGGTGGGGGGACAAGGAAACGTGGTCCCGGAAATCAAGGCTGGAGAGAGGATGGAGGGGCGAGGCAGGTGGGGGGAGGGGCGGGCAGCCAGGGCTACACACCAAGTGGAAACTGAGTCACCCCATTCAGAAGAGGAGTTCTGTGAATGGTCAACACACCAGGCCCAGGTGTCAGTTAAGGCCGGTGGGTTTTCTGGCTGTCCCTCTGTCGCCTCCGTAGCTAGTGCTGGCTGGTCCTCACCCCCTCGGCCACCCCGCCCTGCACCCCTCCAGGCTGCCCCAGCTTCCCCTTTTCAGCAGAGCCCCAGAGCCCAGCGTCCGGCAGAGGTGGACACAGTGGGGGAGAATCCGTACTCCGCAAAAGCAGAGGAAAGGGGCCGGGCGCGGTGGCTCACGCCTGTCATCCTAGCACTCTGGGAGGCTGAGGCGGGTGGATCGTTTGAGCTCAGGAGTTCGAGACCAGCCTCAGCAAGAGTGAGACCCCTGTCTCTACTACAAATAGAAACAAATTGCCGGGCGCGGTGGCTCACACCTGTAATCCTAGCTCTTGGGAGGCTGAGGCGGGAGGATTGCTCAAGGTCAGGAGTTCGAAACCAGCCTGAGCAAGAGGGAGACCCTGTCTCTAGTATAAATAGAAAGAAATTAATTGGCCAACTGATATATATATATAAAAAAAAATTAGCCGGGCATGGTGGCACATGCCTGTAGTCCCAGCTATTCGGGAGGCTGAGGCAGAAGGATCGCTCCAGCCCAGGAGTTTGAGGTTGCTGTGAGCTAGGCTGACGCCACAGCACTCACTCTAGCCTGGGCAACAAAGCGAGACTCTGTCTCAAAAAAAAACAAAAACAAAACAAAACAAAAAAAAAGAAACAAATTAATTGGCCAACTAAAAATATATAGAAAAAATTAGCCGGGCATGGTGGCGCATGCCTGTAGTCCCAGCTACTCGGGAGGCCGAGGCAGGGGGATCGCTTGAGCCCAGGAGTTTGAGGTTGCTGTGAGCTAGGCTGACGCCACGGCACTCTAGCTGGGGCAACAAGAGTGAGACTCTGTCTCCAAAAAAAAAAAAAAAAGCAGAGGAAAGGGAGGTGGGAAGACGGGCTGGGGGCTGGGCACGTGGGTTCTCACGGCCCAGTTACCCTGAGAAAGGCTTGGGCAGAGTCAGACGCTGATAACGGGAACTTCCTGTCCCTGTGAGGATGGAAGGAGAAAGGCTAGGGACACTGCAGGGGCGATTCCCTCGGGAAGCTGAGGGCTGGTCTCCCCCGGGGACACATGACGGCAAACGTAATAACCACCGCTTAATATCCCGCCCCAGGCAAAGTCAATAATTGCTCTGGGCAGTTCTGGCAGGTGGCGTGAGCAAGCAGTGGCAGCCGCAGACACCACCGGCCGGGGCAGGGGAGCGTCCGGGGGAGAATGTCCGCATCCTGACCCGGGAGGGGTCCGCAGGCTGTGACCGGGGGGGCCCCCTGACCCTGCCGCCCTCTGTCACCCTGCTCCAGGATGTTGCCTCAGTGGCAGAGCTCCTTGATCCTCACGGCCTACATCGTCATCTTCCTCACCGGTCTCCCCGCCAACCTGCTGGCCCTGCGGGCGTTCGTGGGGCGGGTCCGCCAGCCCCAGCCGGCGCCCGTGCACATCCTGCTGCTCAGCCTGACGCTGGCCGACCTGCTGCTGCTGCTGCTGCTGCCCTTCAAGGTCGCGGAGACCGCCTGGAACTTCCACTGGCGCCTGCCCGAGGTCGTGTGCGCCCTCACGGGCTTCGGCTTCTACAGCAGCATCTACTGCAGCACGTGGCTGCTGGCGGGCATCAGCATCGAGCGCTACCTGGGGGTGGCCTTCCCCGTGCAGTACAAGCTGTCCCGGCGGCCGCTGTACGGGGTGATCGCCGCTCTGGTGGCCTGGATCATGTCCTTCGGTCACTGCACCGTCGTGATCGTCGTCCAGTACCTGAACTCAACCCAGCGGGCCGGAAATGCCAACGACATCACCTGCTACGAGGACTTCACCCCATACCAGCTGGACGTGGTGCTCAAGGTGCGGCTGGAGCTGTGCCTGGTGCTCTTCCTGGTCCCCATGGCGGTCACCGTCTTCTGCTACTGGCGCTTCGTGTGGATCATGCTCACCCAGCCCCACGTCGGGGCCCAGAGGCGGCGGCGGGCGGTGGGGCTGGCCGTGGTGACGCTCCTCAACTTCCTGGTGTGCTTCGGGCCCTACAACGTGTCTCACCTGGTGGGGTTTTACAGCGGACAAAGCCCCCCGTGGCGGGTGTTCGCGGTGGTGTTCAGCTCCCTCAACGCCAGCCTGGACCCCGTGCTCTTCTATTTCTCCTCCTCCGCCGTGCGCAGGTCCTTTGGGCACGGGCTGCAGGTGCTGCGCCGCCAGGGCTCCTCCCTGCTGAGACGCAGAGGCAAGGAGCCTGCAGAGGCGGCCACCGCGGACAAGGGCGTGAGCCAGACAGACGGGATGCCGAGTTCCGACTTCACCACGGACTAGCGGGCCGTCTCCCTGGACCTTTGGAGGCGCCCTGGGTTGCACAGGAGTTGGGTGGCCCGGGAGAGGAGGAGGAGGGAGCGAGAAGGGGACCGGAGTCCCGACTCAGGGATCCTCAAACCCGATGGCTGCCTGGGACTTTGCAGAAACCCCTCGCACCAGCTTGGTTTCCCTCCCTGACTGGTTTTCCCTCCCACGGGAGCACAGCTGCACGGCACAAGAAGCAACAGCTGAGCACAGAAGCACCGTGAGGCTAGAAGCAGCGTAGCTAACAGGAATCCCGCCCTTGCAGGCTGGCTGGGATCTGGAGGGGACCAGGCGACCAAGCAGAGAGTCCTGCAGTACTCCTGCTACAGGCTTGGAAACAGCACCTACACGCTGGTCTGGCCGTTGGGGCTAGAAAGAAACTGATGGGAAAGAGATGGGAGAGAAATGCTAAATGAGGTCGGAGAAGGCTCAGAAAAGTTCTGAGCCAGGGAGACCAGCAGGGAGGACTCACTCACTCAGGGTTTAAACCTCTAATGATCTGGAGGTCGCTGTATCAGTTTGACCGGTTGCTTTTAAAGCGTGCACCATTTATTTGCACGCGTTATCTTGTCTCCCCCACCGTTAAACCAACGGGAGCTGCCTGAGGTCTGGGTCTCATCTCCTTCCTCCTGGCACCGCGGGCGGGCCAGGAGGTGGCGTGGCATGCAGCAATCAGAGACCGGCACAGGGAAAAACAGCCTGGCCTGGCAGGTTGGGAATAAAGATCATGAAACTCTGAAGCGGGTGTCCACAGTCTTTGGCAGGTTTCTGCAAGCGCAAGAGAGAGAGAGAGCTGTAGCGAAGGGGAAGGCGATGCATTTGAAACCCCAGAAACGTTCTGATATGCAGATGCATGCAGGAAGTACGAGGGTGCTGATAGAGTCCCGTTTAGATCCGTGAAGAGAGGGGCTGACGGTCTTAGAAAGGGGGTGCAGGCTGAGCCCCGACTCACGGTTATCAGTCTTCCGTGGGAGCTTAAAACACGTTACCCTCCTGCTCAGAAACCTGCAATTTCCCTATTGTCAAAGTTTTTCCTCCCAGGAATTCATGTCACGCCATTCCTTTGCCGGCTCTGTTCCTCTCTCCCTTCCCCATTCCCCCTGCCTGACTCATTTCGCCACAGTAAGGACTGCTAGAACATTCTCTCTCGTGAACTGACTGCCGGCCCCTCGCCCAGTAGTCTGCAACCCAGGGCACACGGGGGCATGTGAAAATAATACAGACAGCCACCCCGAACCTACACACAGAACCTCTGAGCGTGGGGAACGCCTGTCGTGGGGTCAGGAGCCCGATCTGTCCAGGAAATTCTTCTTCGGGGAGACTGCATGTATGAAATTGCTGAAAAATTATAGAATGTTATTTAGCTCTAAGACATCAAACCATGTGTAACACACAGACGTACCCTCAGAAATGTAACAAGTAAACATTAAAAATGATGGGAATAATGTACTAGGTAGTCAACTACAGAATGGTTTGGTAGTAATACGTGAGAAAAAAATCTAGGATTTCAGGCCGGGCGAGGTGGCTCACGTCTGTAATCCTAGCACTCTGGGAAGCCGAGGCGGGAGGATCGCTCGAGGTCAGGAGTTCGAAACCAGCCTGAGCAAGAGCGAGACCCCGTCTCTACTACAAATAAAAAAGAAATTAATTGGCCGACTAAAAATATATAGACAAAATTAGCCGGGCATGGTGGTGCATGCCTATAGTCTCAGCTACTCGGGAGGCTGAGGCAGGAGGATTGCTTGAGCCCAGGAGTTTGAAGTTGTTGTGAGCCAGGCTGATGCCACGGCACTCTAGCCTGGGCAACAGAGTGAGACTCTGTCTCAAAAAAAAAAAAAAAAAAAAAATCTGGGATTTTTCAGCTGACTGTAGGCACACTATAAGTCTGTGATGTATTCCGGCTTCCAAAAAAGTTCATTTGGTTTGGGTGACGTTAAAAGAAAGAGTATAGATAAGGCGATAATAACCCCATTCCACTTACACCCAATCAGTAGCACACTCAGTGCTGAGACAACAGATTTTTAAAAAGGCCACTAACTCAGGGAATCAAGCCCAGAAAATTTAACCAAAAATGTTTTGCATGTATAAAACTATGTAATACCTGTGCTCCTTCTCCACTCCCACTGCTTCACTTAATTAGCCTTAAAAAAAAAAACAACAACAACTATATATGGTAGTAGGAATAATGACAATCACAGTGCATATTAAGGGCCAGACACTATGCCAGAGACGGAACCTGAGAGAGTTGAGGTGACTTTCCAAGGTTGGTAAGTGGGAGGGAGTGTGAATCCAGCTCTTCCTGACTTCAGAGCGGCTGCTTTTCTCACTGACACATGATCACAATGTCACATGCACCCCATACATGCATACAATCCTTGTGCACCCATACAGGTTTTAATAATAAAAAGAAATAACATTTTTTTTAAAAGAGAGAAGGAAGCAGAATGCTGCATCTGTGGCTGCGACAAGATAAGGTCCATTTCCCAGAAGATGGCGTTTCTAGGTGGCTCCACAGGGAAGAGCAAAGAATTGCAGACGAAAAAGGCAGATGGCAGATACATTTCGAGGAATTAGGGCTGTTTAAACAGGAACTCACTGTCTGAGCAAGATAGTTTCTCCCAATTTCCAATAATATTCAAGACAGCAAAGAGCCATCCAGAGGAAACCCATGCATCTGCTCAGGGCTGAAGCAGAGAACTGCCCAACGCTGAGCCTCCCCACGCTGAGCCTCCCCACGCTGAGCCCCTCAGCTTCCCCAGGGCCGGGGCTGCTCCTGCTAGCCAGGAGAGTGTGCGACGAAGTCATTTGCTTTACTGAGTTTATAAGAAAATCACTGCACCTGGTCTGAGACTTTTTTTTTTTTTTTTTGAGACAGAGTCTCACTCTGTTGCCTAGGCTAGAGTGCCGTGGCGTCAGCCTAGCTCACAGCAACCTCACGCTCCTGGGCTCAAGCGATCCTCCTGCCTCAGCCTCCCAGGTAGTGGAGACTACAGGCATGCGCCACCATGCCCGGCTAATATTTTATATATATATATATATCTTTTTAGTTGTCCAGCTAATTTCTTTCTTATTTTTTTTTTTAGTAGAGACTGGGGTCTCGCTCTTGCTCAGGCTGGTCTCAAACTCCTGACCTACCTTGAGCGATCCTCCCGCCTCGGCCTCCCAGAGTGCTAGGATGACAGGCGTGAGCCACCGCGCCCGGCCTGGTCTGAGACTTTGAGGGTGAAGTTTTAGCTGGTTACTTACCTAAAAGTATTTGACCTTCATCAGGTCACTTGGTATATCAGCCCATTTCTTCACCAAGAGCCAGAGTCAAGCTGTCAGGCAAAGAGAGCAAACTCCCCCTGCCTCTGCCTTCTTGTTCGACGCAGGCCCTCGGTGAATTAGACGAGGCCCACGTGCATGGGGAGGGCACTTGGAGGGCAACCTGCTTCAATCAGTCTACTTCTCAGATCCTAATCTCATCTAGGAACCCCCTCACACACACTTAGAAATAAGATTTAGCCAAATTTCTGGGCGCCCCATCGTCCGGTGAAATTGACGAACAGGGTTAACCATGACAGCAGGCGGCCGGCTGGGCATTTCTGATGGCTTCCCAGCAACGCCAATGCTGCCGGCTCAGGGACCACACTTTGAGAACCAACTGGGCTGGAATGCTGTGAACTGGGGAGAGAGTGACAGAAGAGGAAGTCAAGGAGGTTGAGCAGGGACCAGACCATGCCAAGTCTTTTAGGCCACAGAGAGGGGTCCGAATTTACTCTAGGAGCTTCTGGAAGCCATTGGAGCGTTCGAAGCAAGAGAGGAGAAGGGTCTGGATTTCCATTTTAAGAAGACCACCCTGGTGGCTCTGCCTCCCACGGAAAGGGAGATGGTTGTTAGGATCAAAGAGATATTGTGCGTGAAAGAGTTAAGAAAGCATAGAGTGCTATGCGAACGTGCAGGGCTAGCAGCTCCCTGTAGGAGAGACTGTCTCCTCTTTCACTGGAATTGGATTTTTCAAGAACAAAATAGCCAGAAGGAGGCCTCACAAGTTACCACGCACCTGCGTGGTAAACAGATGTCTCCAATGGTGTATTGGAAAATGTTTAACAACTAGCTCTTGGTAGGAGCAGAGGAGGGGTGGGAGGGCAGTAGCAGGAGGTTAGGAAGGCTCTGACTTCTAGCACTTGCCAAGTTCTCCTGCATATACGCTCCCACCAGCCTTCGTTTCTACCACCGTGAAGACGCAGAACGTGGGTTTGGCGAGAGATGTTAACGAGCAGCCCTCCTAAGCCAGCTCGGGCACGTCCCTGTGCTGCCCCTCTCGGTGCATATGCTCAGGTGGCAGGCAGCTCACCCCCTCCTCGGGAACACTTTCTCTTCCCCCACGCACAGCACAGGGCTCTCACACGGGGCTCCTGACACAATAAGCACGAGCCAAATGAGGCTGGCTGGGCCTGGTCCAGGGGCATCCGGGTGGCTGCGTGATTGCAGGGCTCCTCCGAACCCCTGCCCCGCAGCAGGATGCCAGATGGGTAAACAGAAATATTAGTGCCTAGTTAATGAATAACACAGTTGGCAGCCCACAGAGCCGCTACCAGGAAACAGGGGCGGGTGGAGCTCGCTGGGCCTGACCCGAGGGCCCGGCCAGCAGGAAAGGGGAACCCGCGCTGACCATTGCACTTCCCCTTTCTGGGGAAGATGCTGTCGTCCCCCTTCCTCAAAACTGCTCATTTCGCCGGAGCTCACGTGGAGTGTGGTTTTGCGGCTGTCGCTGTGGTCAGCGCAGGCGGGGGAGGGGGAGGGGGCGAGGGGGTCCTGCAGAGGAGATGGGGGGAAACACACCAGCAGGGTCCCAACCCCGCTCCCCCAAACTTCCCGCCTCCCAGCGCCAGCTCTCTGCTACTTCTTCTTTTCACCTGGCTCTACCGCCTGTGGATAAATACTTTGCCCCTCCTTTTTTTTTTTTTTCCTTTTCATTATCTTTCTCGTCACAGGAAATGAGGACATTTCTCATCTACAATGTGCACATCCATGCAGGAAATTGTGCCAAAGATCTCTCGGCTCTCAGAAGCAGGAGTCCGGTAACCCACTTGGCAAGGG